AAAGTCTAATAAACTCAAAACTTTTCTACACATTTGGACATTCTTAAGTTGAGTATATAAGTCCCTGAAATATGCTGGTATTTGACCCGTTATGGATCTAGTGGCAACAAGAGGTGATAATTATGGGTCCAGAGGAGGATGAGTATCCCTTTCAAGGTGACTCTGTGATAGCGTTCTCCAGCCAAGGAAGGCTAGTTATGGCACTGCTAACCTGCATCCATTGTCAAGGTATGCTTAGAATGACTCACAGATTTGAGATTCTCAGTTTCATTTGCATCCTATGAGATTTTTCCACTGTGAGTTTCAGAGTCTCATTATTTCTCAGTGTCATAACTTTCACATAAGAAAGTTGTAAAGACTGTGAATCTCACTGCTTTTATAATTCAAACACTTGCTCTGTTAAATTTTGTGTTTGGTGTTCAGAAATATTGGTCCCATGGTTTCAAGAAATAAGAGACTATAATAGAACTGCCATGGAAGCTCTCTGATTCTCAGACTGTAATCTTGAACTTGTCTTTTTCTTTCTGTAAGTGCTGCAGTGCACTCAGGAGAGTCCATTACATAGCACAGACCTTGTTATTGCTACTGCCATGATGGTCCAGTGTAGGAGCCACGTGGGCTCTCAAGGCATTTGTTCTAATAAGTACTTCATCACAGTCAGCCACCGGTGATGATTTAATCAGAATGTCACTGTGCTGTCATGGGTAACTGACATCTAATTTCTTGCTGGTGAGGACCTCTGTGCTGCTCTCAAACCCAAACACAGGACCAAATCCATTCTCAAATCCCAGCTTTGAGTGGCTGTCTCCTCAGACTACTCCCAGGACCAGTTCTACATCAGGGTCCAATCAGCAGACACCAGTAATGTGAATAAAAGAAATTTGCTGTGAAGAATTGTGACTTGTAAAAGGTGCTTAACTAACAAAATAGAAGCAGTAAGTGCAAAAAACAGTTACTACCTCTAGGTCCAAGAAGAATAATTAGGAAGACACTAAGAACTTAGAAAAGCTCTCTCACCACTTGCCTCAAGGCTGATTCAGACCTCTGGGAGAGAGGCGAGGCTGCCTGGGGACACCACAGCCTGCCACAGCCAAAGAAACCTGCTGGAGGGTTATGAGCCAGGGCTGACCAAGAAACGCAAGTTGGGTGGTGGTGGGAGGGTGGGCAGTGGAGAAAGTTGCTGGAAGTCATCAGCAGTCTGGAGCTGGTCTGTAAGGGTTGCTGAGATGAGCACTCCCTGGCCTCACATACAGCTCCACTGGCTACCATGCCTAGAAACAGCACACCAAAATTCAAAAGAAAGTCCCTTTCAGTGCCCCTTCAGTGCCCCCCATTGTCAAACCTCTACTGACATTGAGCCAGCTGGCAAAGGAGAAATGTAGTGATGAGAGGCAATAAGTGGATAACTGACAAAGGAGTGAATACATTTTATGTGTTTAATTGACTACAAGATGGCCGGTGTAGCTGGGGAGAGTGAGTGGGACAGAGACAATGGTGGGAAAAGAGGCCTGAGAAGCAGAGAAGTGGATGAGGTCAGATCATGTGAGGTTTTATAGATCGCAGTAAAAACACTGGGTTTTAATCCAAACATTATGAAAAAGCATGGACAGTTGAGAGCAGAAATGAGATGTGATCTGATTTATTTTCAAAGGTCAGTCTCTGGATATGTGACTTGGGGGCAAGAGTAGAGATAAGGGAGGCTCTGATTATTGACAGCCAGCCTTCCCTTGCTCCATCTCTTCCCTGGGTTCTCATATGACCACATGTCTTAGTTGGACTGAGACAACTAAGGGGCCAGGCCTTGACTTTCAAAAGTCCTACTTTTAAAAGGCATATTATATGATTACTCAGTACTAACATATGTTGAATCCTCTCCTTTTCTGAAAACGAGCCTGACATTTCAAGGTTCTTAGGTCGAGTTTCTAGAGGTGACTGTTGCCTCATTGCTATGTTTGGGGAATGCCTGAAATACAAGGCATTCCTCAGGACCCTCTCCTTCAACCCCTAAGAACCTCCCCTTTCTTCATACCAGCGGGTACAGCCCATCTACCCGATTCCTGCTGTAGAGAGCTGGCATTCCTCTAGCTCTAGAGAAGACTTGGGAGAGTACCATTGACAGCAGCCTGACTTTAAGGACCACCATCCCAACAAAGGAGCTTGTAGAAGTCTTTCCAGAGTTCTAACAAGATGTTTAAGATGACAGCCACGTGCAGAATGTCAAGCCATCTTTCATTCTGCACTGGACCTTGGAACAGAGGCCAGGTTGCCTGCCTTGGCTGACTTCATTGCCTCCCTTGCCAGATCAAACTTTTTAAGTAGTTGAAATAGAAGTTTGTCTCATGATGCCTCTGTACCTTTTACCCAAACCCTCTTGTACCTGTTTTCATGTTTCTTCCTCTCTCCGGCCTCTCTCCTTAGTGCTGACAATCATTGCCCCCATTTCCCATCAAAACATGCTCCAAATCTTTTATTTATACCCCTAGACCTTTGGTTTCCACAGGAATATAATGGAAGGAAGAAGTTTAAAGAGTTTCTTTTTCCAAGGACCTTTGCATTTTAATAGAAATCAAAGTCTGACATTGTTATAAATAGCTTGGTGAGCTTGCTAAAATGCAAATATTGATGGGTTCCAATCTCCAAGAACCTGATTTAATAGTTTTGGGGTAGTGTTCAAGAATATGTGTTTTAATCAAGCACCCCAAGTGATTCTGATGAGTAAATTAAAGAGAGAAGACACTAATGTTAGAATTGCATGTGTCAGTTGTGAGAGAAGAAGGCTTTATTGGGTATCAGGAATCATGCCACACCAATAATTGCATGCAAATATAATAATGATGTTTTCTGATTCCAAAATTGGGTCATGTAGAGTATCCATGGGGCCTCATTGAAACACCTGGGCTAGATCCTTTGCCTGAAAGTGACCAGAGGTGACCTCTGAAGATAGTTTGCTATTCACTTGACCCAGAAAACCCCACAAAATCATGCAAATCAAGAGGTTCAAATCTTCACGTGCAGTTTAAGAACACTCATGAAACTGCCCAGGCCATCAAGGGTATGCCTATTTGAAAAGCCACTAAGTATCTGAAAGATATTGCTTTAAAGAAGCAGTGTATCCCATTCCACCAATACAATGGTGCAGTTGGTAGCTGCACCCAGGCCAAACAGTGGGGCTGGACACAGTGTTGGTGGCTCAAAAAGAGTGCTGAGTTTTTGTTGCACATGCTTAAAAATACAGAGAGTAATGCTGAGTTTAAGGGTTTAGTTGTAGAGTCTCTGGTCATTGAGGACACCCCAGTGAACAAAACTCCCAAGATATGGTGCAGAACTTAGAGAGCTCATGGGTGGATTAACCCGCACACCAGCTCTCCTTGCCTCACTGAGATGATCCTACTGAAAAAGAGCAGATTGTTCCTAAACCAGAAGAGTAAGTTGCACAAAAGAAAAAGACATCCCAGAAGAAAGTGAAGAAACAAAAGCTTATGGCCTAGGAGTAAATTCAGCATAAAATAAATACTAATAAAAGTAAAAGCAGAAAAAAAGAGAGAAAGAAACACCTGGGCTAAATGGTCAACCTACTTGATGGGGTAATATGGAATCTGATGTTATTTAAGTTATTCAAGAATATCAAGTCCTGCCCTTCCTCTTCTCCCTGTGGGATTGCCCAGGAAATCATATATATGGAACTGTAGCCAATTAGAAATATAAGTGCTATTTTATTGTTAGCTGGCATAATGTCTAATAATGAGTACAGTATAGGGTTCTGCGAAGGCTGAAGTCCATCATTCTAGCTCTTAGTCAGTTTAGGGTCTTTTACTCCTCCACTCCCCACAACCCAGATTCTTGCACTGATATGTCAAAATATGCCTGTGAAAAGCAAGAGATTGAGTAATTTTGGAGCCCACTTAGCTGGCAAGGCCATATGGAAACAGGGTGAGAGAGAGAAAAAAAGAGATAGAGATATAGAGAAAGAATCCTTAGTTCTGCTTACTATATGGAGGCAGAAAAAATAACATATAAGACAGTGTCATGTATGTATACTGATTTTTTCCTCTGCAGTAATCCAGTGCATTAGTAACTGTGGCAGTTAATACTCTAACCAATCAGATCAAGAACCACATCTCCACTGTGGAAAGGAAGGAAGAAATGGGCAGAAGCAGACCTCACATCAGGAGAGGGGTTGAAGGTCAGGCCAGACCTTCAGACCATAAAGCAGAGGTGAGGCCCTACACACATAAGGGGCATCTTGCTTTGGTGACACATTCCCATGGTTGTGTTTGATTCCTTCCACCAGCTACACATCCATTCCTTTTATTCCCATTCAGGAAAGCATAGCAAAATCCAAGACAGAGTGACTTCATTATGGGGTAGATCTTGAATCTCTTTTGGGTGATTAAAAGTAGGATTTGCAAGCATTGGCACTTTAAGAATTACTGGTAACAAATGACATCTTGCACTTGGCTGTGATCGGACAATGGGTTGAGACCTTGTGGGCAGGTCCTGGCGGAGCACCCCAAACCTGCTCCAGGAGCTGGGTTAAGCAGCAGTTTAAGAGGTGGTTGGTCCTCTGCTACTCTGTCCAGCCCTTGCCCTCCTCTTGTCTTCTCATAGAACCCTAGACTCCAGAGCTCAGGTCTGGGTGGTGGGGCAGGGCAGAGGGAGACTCTAGGAGAGAAGTAAGGAGGTTGGCTCGTGTCCTATAATTTCTGGAACAGACTCATTCATCCATGGGGAGAAGATGGGAGGGTTTCTGTTCTTACAACTGTAAATAAGTAAGACACATAGTTTCTGGGACAAACTATTTTTACACAGGGAATTATTCTGAAAGCTTTTTCTGAGTCAGTTTAATAACAAAAAAAAAACACACAAAAGAACTTGCATTTTTATACTCTTCAAAGTATGTATGTTAATATACATTATCTCTCCCCCCCCTCCTCTTTTCCCTTCTCTTCCCCCGTCTCCTCCCTTCTTTCTTTCATTCATTCAAAACCAATTTTGTGCCTTTCCAAGTATTTGGAGGACAGCTCTTCTATTTTGTGGATTGTCCATTTAATTTCTCCTATTCTGTCTCCTTGTCAAATTAGGAACCATTTTCTGTTAACCTTTTCATTGGAAGGAAGAGATGGATAATGAGATTCATGTTGAAATAAGGTTAGAGATCACCATTGTATTCAGATTTCCCAAGTTCTCCCCTGCCTTTTCCCCTTTGGGGAGTAAGACAATTATATGAGAGTTAAGTATATTTCTGTGACATCTAGGAAACAGGAGAAGGGAAGGGATGTTGAAGAGGGAAGATACAATTCAAGGTAACGTTGTTAAGAAATTTATTTGCAATTCTTGTTTTTTGTTTTTTTGTTTTTGTTTTTTTTAAATAACATTATTCCTTAGATAAAAATGCAATCTTACAGGAATATACATAGCATCTCACACAGAGATCATCACCCTGAAGCTCTTCTGGAAAGGTCGCCCCTTGTAGATTCCCTGGCCTTTCTCAAGGGTAAGAAGGCGCAGCAGGCGAGGCCTTTGACAACAGGATTATTTGATGATTACAAACTGTACAACAATATTTACAATAGTAAGAACTGCAAATCCGTGGAGCCTGGAGGGGAAGGTGTGTGGTATGCAGGTGTGTGGGGATGATGACAGGCATTGGGGTGACCATGGAGGCACTGTCCCTCTTTCTACATCTCTCTGAGAATAAGTATGATACAGCTTGGTCTGGGGGCAGGAAGGTAGGCCTGAGCAAGAGGACATGAGAAGAGGGATGGATGGGCTGGGCTGTCTGGAGCCTCTTACATGAAGGGGAATTTTGCTTGCTTTGTACCACTGGGGTTAAAAAAAACCAACAGGAAACTTATGAGAGTAATAGACATTCCAGTGGCTCATCAACTGGGGACCTGCCACCCTACTTCCTGATGAACTTGTGTGTTTTTCACAGGTGGTTCTCAACTACTCCCATCCCAGATTGTGCAATTCTGTTTATGCTGTTGGTGTCCACAGCCTTCTTCTTGTCCTCCCAGGCACTGGGAGAAAGCATGTGCTCTGGGCGAGACAGGCAGCAGCTATGTATGGTGCATAACCTGGGTGAGGAGTCAAGAGATGGAGTTGAAAGGTCGGGGAAAGGGAGGTGGCTGATGTATGATGGTGTGATGTGAGCAAGAAGGAAGGTGCCACAGCATTTGAGTTGTCTTCTGAAGGAGCCCTTTGCATGGGATTGTTGGCTTACAACTAGTCTGCCCTTCACTCTCAAATTTTGTTTTCCATTCAAGCCTCAGTACAATTTCTTCGTGTAGAGACACCTTAGGGGGAGGGGCTTGGGACAGGACCCAGTGACCCACCCTCTTTTATTCCTCTTGTGCCTCTACAGCAAGTAGCCTTCTCCTCTCTCTCCTCCTGGCTTCTCTCTGCCCTCAGGAGGGACTTCCTCCAGGGGCCTTTGAAGTCACTGCCAAGGCTGATGTCTGCTCACTCTCTTTTTCCTTACCCCTCTGCTTCTTAACTGAAGTCTCTAAAAACCTCAGCACCAGAGTTCTCCAGGCCCAAACTGTGAATAGGAATTATTCTGTCCATCTGTGTATTTCCTTGCATAGAAATAACCCTCCCTTAGCACTTACCACTTTTCCTGGCAAGGACTGCCTGTGATAATGACGTTTGCTTATTTATGAAGGCTGTGACTTTTACATGACACACTTGTAGCAAATGTCTGATTCATGGTAGATTAAGTGTCAAGTACCCATTCTAGGGGCTTGATACAAATCAGATGATTTACATTCTGAACACCAGGGTGCACAGGATGCCCCACCGAGGGGAGCACACCTGTGAAGGGGCCAGCATCTGATATGAAGGCAGAATATTTGACTCTTGCTGATGTGACATTTCAGGCCTTTAGTTAATAGTCTTTGTCTTGTTTTCCTTAATTAGTAGAGAACAATGTTAACTATGACTCTGCTCTCAGTGGTAAACTTATTTAACTTAGCTTAAGATATTCCACTGTAATCTCTAATTTCCTTCTAGCAATGGATTGAATGGCTCTTCTAATACACCAGAAAACTTGAGAGTCATTACCACTGCATCTGCTGTGAACCAAGCCTCTTAAAGTCATATGAGGGAATGGTCTTGATTTTAGTAGTAGTAGCATTTTCTTAATGTGGATAAATTATACTTAATTCCTAGTAATAATAGGTTCAGATGGCACTATTCCCAGCCAAGGAAGTTACTCTGGCTCTCTCCCTACTTCTCTCTATACAGTGAGTGCTCAGCCTTCTGGGAAGAGACAGAGTCATTTGTGTAGAGCTCAGCCCCAGCATGGACACTTGTCCCTTAAGGATATGTGTGTGTGGGTGTACATGTGAGTGTATGTGTGTGTATTCATGTGTATGCATGTGAGTGTGTGTGTGTGTGCATGTGGTATCCAAGGGCCTCCCCAACAATGTGGAAATCTGGCAGAAACCCATTAACCTGTTACATTGGTATCTGGTTCCACACAGGAATATTTCATTGCTTTGAAAACTAAATAAATAAATAAATAAAGTTAAAAGAAATGGCTTGACAAAAAACTATGTTAAGAATGGCAAAATCTCTGTCTCTCACTAGTCTGGTGGGCAGGGGAGGAAGGAAAATGGGGGCATGGGGCAGGAGGCTGAAACATAGCAGCTTAGGGAAGGGACCAGAGCCCCCCACCCCCGCTGCCTACCTGGACAGCTGCAGGACACTTCCCTCACTGTGCCCCTGCGGCTGTGTTATGCTGGAGCCCTGCACGCGGGGGACTGCGAGCTGCATGGGTGCCAGGCCAGGGCTTCACCTCTGCCTCTGACTGGGGCTGTTTCTGTGGTGCGCTGGCTAACACAAGGGCAGGGACGTCAGCAGAGAGGCCAGACAGGGGGCAGACACCCCTCATCCAGCTGATAATGTTGATTTGGTTGGGAAAACAGTGTCAGTCAAAACGCTACTTTTCTTTTCTTCCAAAGTAGATCCTTGAGACATGAGCCTCTGCCCTGTACGGGCCATTGCAAGTGGTTGACCTAGATGTTTCTTTCCATAAAATGGGAGCAGACACACTGGAAATCAAAACATGCCCTTTTTGCCCCATTTCCTTTCCAGTTCTCTCTGGGCTTACACTTTCCCCAGACCAGACCCATATCTTCAGAAACAGAACTGGCCTGGACTCTACCAGCAATTTTTTTACTCCCCTGGGGCTTAAAGAGGTCCTCTTAAAACCTTCTCTTGGTCTCCGTGCTAAACCGTTTCTACCTCTTAGATGACGTAGTCTCGTTCTCCTGGCTCTCTGGGGATAGAGAAGCCATCACCTTCCATAGCAACATGTGTGATTTGGGTTTGATGAAGCTGAAACACTGACCACCAGGGTTCTTCTTCATTCCTACCCCAAGTTCTTGTTCTATTTCTTGGCCGTTAGAAGTGACAGGCCTATGTAAAACAACCATCATCCTTTTGATGGCTTCCAAACTCCTCATTTTCTGGGCTCTCTTATTTCTGAAAGATACTACTTTGGCAGTAGAAGGTATACTTCTGTGGTCGCCTTACTATCTTTTGCTGCGTGATAAGCAGAAGTTCTGGAAGAGATGGCTGTGAGGAAGTGCTAAGTAGCTTCACTCCAAACAAGCCCCTGACATTTGAAAGCAGGGTCCCAGGGGAGGATAAAAGACTGAGGAAGGCTGTCTTGTTCCTTGGATTTCCCAGTCAGAGGGACGTCTGTCAGACTTAGAAGCTGAAGAGGGGACTATAATATCTTCTGAAGCAAAGCAGAAACAAATCCATAAATCAAGCCAAAATCTAGGGGGAAAGTCTCTTTTTTTACTTCAAGGCCAAAAAGAAACTTCTAGGAACAGGCAGAAAGAGACAACTGAAAATCTCTCTGCTTAATGTAGCCATAAATGTGAATAATAATTAAAAGACCAAGGGGTGAAAATAAAAGAGGCTGGGCCTGTCAGAAGATGATAAAAATCAAGTTTACCAAAACCCAGAACTTAAGCTGCACTTCTTCAAGTCCTTCTGGTCCTCAGCACTGGCTGCTCTTCTCCAGCCACTCAGAAGTTTTACGAGGTCATGAGGAGAGTTCTCCTCTAGACAGAGAGAAAACATCACCTCGTACACTGTGGATGAGGTTCGTTGGTTTCATGGCTGATGTTACTAGTCTATGATGATGATAGATACCAAATGTCAGCCCTATAGGAGTCCAGCATGAGGTCTGGCTCAGAGAGGCCCTCGCCTGGGAACTCCCATCTGAAACTCCTTTCCTTTACAGCAGCATAAGGCAAAGTGCCCTGGTCACTGGTGACACAGTTCTTACCGGGGCAGGGAGGAAGGCTGGCTGGTCTTCTGGACAGAGTGGACTAGAGAACAGCAGCGAGCCTCTGGTGGGAGTGGTGAACAGCAAAGGGACTGCACTTAGGCAGGGCCCTGGAAGCAGCTGGAACAAGCCCACCTATAGCCCCTGCTGCTGGCCAACGGATTTGGTGATGCACATGCAAAGTCCAGAAGGAAAAGAGAATACAGCATGAAAAGGTTGAGTGTGTGTGGTCAATCAAGATTCCCAACTTTATCTAGGGATCAAATGTATAGCAAGAACCAAATATTAATCCAAAGGCGCTCCCCTCTCCATCATAACTAAAATCTTAGAGGCACAGTGGCAGACATTTTGGGAAACTAAACAAAGGGTAACAGTGACACCTGAACTTAATTTCTAGAAGGTGGCTCTGAGAAGGAACCAAGAAACTTTGGATGGGTTGGGCTCGGAGAAGCAGGAAGAAACTCTTCTGTTACTAGAATGTAAGCTAACCTGGGAGTTTCCAGCACATTTCTCCACATTTTCATGAATTAGTCCATGAAAACAAAACTCATCTTCATTGAGAACTGGGCTTTCTCTGATTTAAATTTCTCGTTTGCTTACATAAGTGCCAAGAAGGGCTGTGAGGACCCTGGACTGGAATAGATTCGATGGGTGAATTCTGGATGAATGGCTGGGTCCTGTTTTCCCCAAATCAGTCCCTTATTAACCATCATTGTTCAAATCTATTCAAAGGACAGCACCAATAGCAGGAGGTTCTAGGTAGACCCAAACTGGCGTAAGAGAAGCTCCCAGAGAGTCCCTGGTTCCACCACCCCTGTGAACTCCTGATGATGCCTCTCTTGTTCTGGTCCCCTGCATGGCTGCCACACATACTAACGGAAGTCTGGAGGAAATCCTGTCCCAGAGTGAAGAAAAGATGGAGAGGTGAGCAAGACACGGTTGACTTTTGGATGGACAAAGATTTTAACTGGTTGCCTTTTTGTAGCCCCTGCTGTATGAGTTTGGGCAGAGCAGTTGCAGAACCAGGATTCCCTCCCCTCCCACCAGCCCAACTCTAATCCCGTCCTCCCAGTCAGAGTATACTTTCCTGAATAACCACTGGGCAAAATTTGTGCTACAGGAGTAAAGAGAAAGGTCAGCCACCTCTTCTCCCCCTCAAGGGATGCTGAGGCTAGCCCAGTGAGGAGAGGGGCTGGTTGGAATGCCTCACGACCCCTCACCATTGTTCCTAGAGAAATACCCAGTCAGAGAACTGGTACAGAGCAGACAGAGGGAAGATTGGAATGAGCTATGTCCTAGTCTCTCAAATGAGATGTAGTACAAATATACTTATCGCATAGCTTTGGAGAGATTGAGGGAAGCAGAAGCAAACACAAGATATGCAAAACAGTAATGTCCAAACCTGTTAGTGGGTAGGTAGCAGGATAATGATTTACATGGGTGATACCCTTGCTCATTGTACAAATTAAAAAAAAATCATTCCCCTTCCCCCAACCACATATAGAAAAGCACTTAAGAGTTCAACGGTAAAGCTTGTCACACTCCAAATACAAAATGATTTACTTACATGCAGCAAAATATACAAGAGGTGGATTCAAAAACAAACTTAATTCATTATATTCGCTTGGCACAATTGCAATTCAATTTTAAAAAAATATTTGTAAAATACTGAAACTGACCTGAATTCAAGTATAACGGTTTCTTCAACAGAAACATTATCAATGCAATAAAACATTACACGGAATATATTGAAGCAAAACGCCTTCTTGAGTTTTTCCCTTAAATTTCTGTGTTCTTTAAAATACAGTTTTAATGCCAACAAGACTCACAATTGTATTTTTAAAATGAATATTATTGCATTGTTTTTGCATATCTTGTGGGACAGAAAATGCAAAGAGTTACTGATTCCCGTTTCAGAAGCAGAGACAGTGATTTGTTTTTGCTTTCAAATGGCCCTGGATTCAGATCCCTGTTAACCCAGAAACGGGGAGCTGTGTACTCACTGGGCGCATGGGGGCACTGTGTGGGCACACGTCCACATGTCTGACATACCCACACAGACAACCCGCCACACACATAACACACTCACAGAGACTCTCTCATGCACGCTTGCTCTCTTCTGGCACCCACCAATACACCCGACATTCAAGAGAACCCAGCTCAGTCATCCATCTGTGCAAGACCCTATCAAGTGCATTGCTGATTACCTTTAAATTATAAAACCAAACCAAAGGAATTTTTACTACCTACAGAAATGATAACAAATGGTTGGGCATACACAATGTCTGGTAAAACTCTCCTACAGCAGCTCTAATGAACCACTGTAGAAAAAGGAAACCACACCCATTTAAATAATATGATCATACCTAACCTCATTTGCATTTGCAAGAGTGAAAACAGTAAGGTGGGTAACTACGACCTTCGTAAACACTCTTCTTCTTCCCCTCCTCCTGGGAAAATAAAACTGAAAAAAACAAACAAAAAAAAATCCAAACCAAAAGAAATAAAAATTGCAACATGCTGTCAAGAAAAATGTCAAACAACAGAACAAAAGAGCGCTCAGCAGAACCCAGCACCACCTTGCTTTGTCCAGAGCTGGCTGCCCTTTCTTGGCGGGCAGCCTGCTCCCCGGCCGCAGGCTGGCCAGCTGCTGGTGGAGCTCGGTGGCCTGGTCCGGCGGTCTGGCCCTTGCAGGGAAGGTGATCCTGATGCAAGGGGGTGGCCTGGCAGGGAAGGTGGGGGGTGGGTAGCTGCAGCAGCCACCCCACTCTTCCTCCTGGCTCCAGCTCCTGCCGCCTCTTGCTGCTTCCTCTTCCCTCCTGGCAGGGGGTGGGGCTGGGTCCAAGTTGTGCCTGCTTCCTTCTGCAAATCCACAGGGCCCTGGCTCTATGGGGACAGTGAGGCTTGTACAGAATATGTGCAAAATGATTTTTTTACAAGCAAAGTTGAAAGACACCCGTTTGACAAAGGTCCTTTCGGTGAGGGCTACCACAGGAAGCTGAGGGTCCCTTTTGTGCCCAAGGCAAAGGCTGGTTCCTCGCACAGGACTTGAAGTAAAACGGGAGGGCAGGTAGCTGTCTCCTGTGCTCCCTCCCCTAACCTCCCACCTCTTCTTCCTCCTCACCACTCTTCCTCCTTTGACACAAACTGGGGTTGCTGCTTTTCTTCCCCCACCCCTGGAAAAGCAAAAAGCTCTACTCTCCATGTCACCCAACTCTGTGTCTTGTCCCAACGAAATGAATGAAGACGCTGTTCCGTTAACTCCAGGTCACGAGAACAGTGAGGCACTTCTGAAACGAACCCTTTAGGAACATTGAAACAAATAAAAAACCCAGCATCTCCCAGCCCTGGCCCCTACAGGCTGCTGACGTAGGCTCTGCTGTCCTGCAGCTCCTCCTCACTCTTCCGACACTCCTGGCTGGGCCCGCTGAGCCCATCCTCTTCGCCCCCTGCTCTGTCCTGCCCCCGGTCCCTGCAGTTAACAAAAGGTAATAGGGTGCCGTTGGGGCTCTGCTGGTTGCCCCCACTGAGTATGTTGTCAGCAGCGCTCTCCATCTCCTCTATGGTCATGTCGCAGGCGTCAGCCAGCTCCTGGGTTGTGACCTCGATAAACTTGGGATCTTGGGCAAACTGCCCCAGTCCTTCCGAAATCAAGACCTGAAGAGGGGAGGGCCATGAAGAAGATCCAGAAAGGTATATTATTCTTGCAGCTCAATTCACGTTTTCAGGGTTAGGGCAAGGGACTTCTGATTGGGAACTTCAGGAGTGTGTACGCCATGCTGTACTTACAGAGGAGGGTTGAGATTTGGGGTGTGTGGGCTGGAGAGAGAGACCTTTTAGCTGGGGGACTTGAAAATTGTTACCAAACACCTAAAAGCTGGGCTCACTGAGGAGCTGCAGAGATGTTGTCTCACAGCTAAAAAAAAGGCTGTCCTTGCCTCTTCTCCTCCCTGGCACCCTGTATCAGTTATGCTTTCCAAGGCCCCTCATTCTCCTTCGGTGAAACAGCTAGTCCATGCCCACTGCCCATTGCCATCTGGTTGCCTCTTTAGGGATGAGGTTCCTGAATATAATGCGTGCAAACACTGTGCATGCATCTGCCTCTGCCTCTGCCTCTGCTTCTGCTGGGGAGGGCCAGCGGGCTCAGCCACGTCACCCTCCTTCCTAGCAGCTGCTTTAGTGACCTGTCTGGGGTAGAGTGAAGTCTGGAACCCTTCCCTCCCAGTTACCTTGCCTGACTTTTCTTCGTTGCTCCCGCCCCTTCCTAACACATCACATGTTTATTCATTATCTGTCTTTCATCACCACCAGGTGAGCTCGTGAGGGCAGAAATGCTGTTCCTCAGCAGCGTCCAGCACCTAGAACACAGCTTACAGTGGCAGGCGCTCAGTGGAGATGTGTGGACTGAACAAGGAGCAGCCAAGACCACCCGAAACACAGGGTGTTAGGGTCCGAAGAAACATTAGGAGTCATCTGGTTTAATTCTCTGCCCCCGTGCAACAGCCTGATGACTGGATGGGCACCATCTCCATTTGCACATGTTGACTGACAAGGGGCTCACTGTTTTACAGGAACCCCTCCTCATTTTATTGGAAGAGCTCTTTTGGAAAGATCTCCATGTGTGAGCTAAAATTTGCCTGCTTGTCAGTCCTGCATTTAAGACCTCTTGACCAGGACACAGGACTCTTACAGGTTTGAGATTGCGTCTTAAGTCACCTCCTCTCCAACTTTACTCCCCAAATTCCCTCAACCAGTTCTCACAGGAAATGTCTTCTAGGGACCTCGCCATCCCAGTCACCCTCCTTTGGGATTGCTCCAATTTGTCAAAGGTGCCCCTAAGATATGGTGCAAGGGTTGCACTAGGTGCTCTGACCAGGGCAGAATGTGGTGGTCTAGGAAGTGCTCTTGTTCTTGTCTCAACCCTGGCTGTATGTTAGAATCATCAAAAGGATTTTTAAAAAACCCATTTCATTGGTCATAGGTGTCTAAAACTCCCCAGATTATTCAAATGAGCAACCAGGCTTAGGAGCTAGGTAGGGACTTTCTCTGTGTGAACGAAGGCAGCCCAAACTCCCATGTGAAGCGGTCACAGCACACCTCTGGCTACAGAGGAGCCCCACAGCCTTCCTCGGCTTCCCTGGCCTGTGGTAGGGTATGCTGCCTCACAGTCTCTCTCTCCCTCTGCATCAGGCCAGCCCCAGAAGCAGCCGATAGTGCCTTGTGTGGTCAGAATTTCCTGCGTGCCATGCGGTCCAGCAGCAGGCCCTGACACCAAGGGTCTATCTGGCCAGGAGATCCAACCTACAATCCACTAGGGAGAGAACCAGGTACTCCTCCCGACCTTTCCCTCCCCTGTCTGCTGTGCAGCTTGGAGTCCCTTACCGCCTCCACCAGACTGCTGGCACTGCCGTGGAACTGCCTGCCCCAGGCCCCAGGCTGGCTGGGCACAGTGAGGGACACAGGCCGGGCTCTCCGGGTGGTGCTGCTGTTCTCCCGGCAGGGCGTGGGCTCCCCAGACCAGGAGCCACAGTGGATGGATGGGAAGCTGCTGTTGAGTTTCTCGCTGGACTCTGTTCCTTCCAGTCGAAGCATGGGGATGGGCTGAGGGAGCCAGCCTGGGCTGCCGGGAGTGGCAGGGGGTGTGGCACGTGGCCTGGGGAATGTGGTGGGAGAATGGCTTCTCTGGAGGAGGGGGCTCAGGCCTGCCACTGCCAGTGCCTGTGGACACACAAGGGGCAGCGGTTACTGGGAACAGTCAGGCCCAGAGAGGTTGGCCTCTCAGCAGCTACTGTTTCCCTCTAGTTCCACCTGCCTGGAACTCATCCGCCATCATTTCCACCCACCTGAATCCTACTTCATCAAGCCCCAGTATAAGTTTCAACCACCCTAAAACATGTTCTCATTACTCCAGCTGAAGAGACCTCTGTCTCCTCTAAATTCTGAAAGCTGGGATAGACTGCAGTCAAGGCCACCTGCTTCCTGGCACTGGCCTTATCCCCTGCCAACTGTGACTTCTCTCCCTTTGGCTTTCTTGTTGGTAGAGAGGACGATGGCTGCGTCATCTGTACGACTAGAACACAGTGTCCACTGTCTCCCTGCTTTTCAGGGTTGGTGTGAGGTTCAAGTGAAGTAGGGCCTGTGAAAATGCATGCCGCGCATCCAAATAGCTAGACAAAACCAGTCCTGACTGTTTCAACTTTTGCAACTCATTGGGCCATTGGTAATGTCTTGCCAGTCTCTAGCTCACCTTGTTTTTGAACTATTGTTCAAGTCTTACACTGTATTGTGATTAAACTATTCACACGGCTGTGTCCTCTGCCCCCACTGTGCTTGGGTGTCCTGAAGGTGGTCCGTCGTCCCCATGTGAGCTGCCACAACAGCAGCCTGCTCTGATGTGACATGTCCACGGGACAGTGACACAGTGTGGTGGGAAAGGCCAGCTGGAGAGGCAGGGAGGAAGGGACAAGGCTTCAAGGATGGGAGGGTGGCAAGAAGGCCGAAACAGAGAAGGAAGATAAAGAGGAGTTTCTTGCTTTCCAGAATGATAAAATAGATGAGTGAAATCAACTTACAGAAATCTCACAAATATCAAAATATCACACAGTGTCCCCCCAGCCTGCCAGTCTCCCCTAGCCACTGCTCTCAATCGTCCCCACCCTGGGATCCTGGGGTCCCTGGGTCCCTGGAGATCACTTGTAGGTAGGCAATGCCACACAGGCTAAGCAAAACAGTGCATTTCTTTAAGCTGACATAATATCAACTCTGCCAAGCCATACTGGCAATGCTGTGCTGATTATAAACTGTAATTGGTAGTTGAATGCCTTTGCATAAAAACTTATTATTGAAAACATAGGTCTGTGGTAAGGGATTAAAGAGGTAAAAAATTTAGGAAGCTCTAGTTTAAAACCTAATTTTTCTGGAGGTAAGAAACTGCCTTAGACAGCTCTTTGATGTTTCCATTAGTTCTGAGACACGAAGAGCATTTCTGACACTGGTGCCTTGGACGTCACTATCTTGGAGTCATCTGTGCCAAGAGAAAAACGTCAGCTGTCAAATCTCCCCAGACCCGTGTTCCTTGGCTATCGCTCCCCACTCCGGACCATGCGGCTGGCCGGTTTTGACCACTTCTGTATTTCAGTGGGTGGATTTCTGTGCAGCTCAGTTTCCATGTGTATTGCGACTCTAGGGAGGGCCACGCCTGCCTGGTTGCCCTGGTGGAAGCCGGGGTCTTGGGGGGTGGGAATCTGTGCCACTGTAAGCAGAAAGCCTGGGTGGAGTCCCAGAGCTGCTGATCCTTCAGGAACTCTGTGAGGGGCTCCTGCTCCCCAGTATTTCCTAGGTTTCCAACTTGGGAAATGACAGACTTTGTTAAGGCTCTCATCTGTGTAGAGAAAGCCCCTTCCCCTGAGGGCTGCTAGGGCCAGCAGTGGGGATGCAGCTGTGGTCTGAGGCAGAAAAGACTGGAATCTTGGAGATTTCTGCCTAGCCTACTAGGAGGTGACCAGTGGCCCATCCAAGATGTGGGCTACCTGATGATGAACCAGGTGCAAGGGCAGGACAGTCTTCTGAGAGATGTCTCCTCCTTGATTCTTCTGTCGCTTCAGACATTCTAGGTGGAAGGAGGCCCTCCGACCTGCAAAGCCAGCCAAAGAATTAGGATCAGAGCAGGAAAAGAACGGGTCTGTGATGACTGGTGTCCGGGATGGTGGGGAGAGGGGTGGTATTAGTGGCCCAGATACATCTCCTCCTTACCCTCCACCTTTCTCTGACGCATACTACAGAACATATGTCCATGTCCTATCCCGGCAAGCCCTGCCCTTGGAATCCCCTCTTGTTGCTTTAGAAATCTGCCCAGCCCACTGTGTGGGGGTTGTTTGAGCCAGGCTACCACAGTTTCTGTCACCCCTGAGGTCCTGACCAGTCATCTGGGGGTGCCCACTGGCTAGCCACATCTGACAGCAAGGTGCGAGGGCTTACCCAGGGAGGCGGAGCGGAGGAAACCCCTCTTTGGAGATTGCCGGATGTCCTTCTTGTCCTCCTCTGGGGGTGTCAGTTGTCGGTTTTTGTCATCCTGATAGGACAGCCTGAAACAGAGAACCCCTGGGGCTAGTTCCTGGTGACTGAGAAGTGTGCCCCACAGGGACAGCTGCCAACCCAGAAGGTAGTGTGCATTTTTCCTCAGAGAAGGGAACCCCCACTTTGTGCTTTCATGAAGGTTTGGGGAGGGGTGGCAGGCAAGATCCTGCCACCCCAGGACCCTTCTAGCTCCTCTCACCCTGCCTGCCTACTCTGAGCCCCGCATCTCTGACAGGAGGCAGTGCAGGCGCTCTGGGGCCACAGTTGCAGAAAAGGCCCACAAGGGCCTTTCCAAGGCTGGTCTGGGTTCCTCTCTTCCATGTATTGATGCTATTTACCATGACAAGTCCAACTTCACCCCAACTTCCACCCCCACCCCATTCTCCCTGGCCTGCCCAACCCCTTTGTCATCAAGAGCGCAGGGCAGTTGCCTATGACACCACCTAATTACCCAGTCAGCGAGCAGCAGAGCTGTTGGGGACTGAAGCGGTGTCAAGTCAATGGTTTCCAAGCCTTTTTGGTGGGACGCACAATGGGGACTGGATTTTACACAGTCCCATGTGCAGGACACATCTGGCTGAACTGGACATTAGGAACATACTTACCTTTACGTGCTACACTCTGATGCTTTCTGTTTTACTTTAGTCCACTCTGTTTCTTTAAAAAATGTCAGTTGCAACCCACTAAGTTGATTTCACTACTCCTGCTGGGCATTACTGTCCCTCCAAGATTGCATTCTAGCCCCTCCCTTTTACAGATGGGACCACTGGCTCTGTTCTTCCTGTGACTCTGCCTACTCAGAGGGTAGAGGCTGTGCTGTCTTCCAGCTCCTAGCTCCCTGACTTCCAGCACTTGTAGATGTTGAGGAAAGGTTTTGAACCAAGATGTCTAAGCCTTTCCTCTCATTTTCAGCTTGGAAAGCCTTCCCTATTATATTTTCTTCTTATCCAAGTCATATCCATTCTTGAGGACCCAGCTTTTGTTTGACTTTGTGCCTAGTGCCTGCTATGGTCACCTTGACCTTGACCTTCCCCGATGCCTGCACCCCTCATTGTTGTACCACCCTGTGGGCAAGCAGTTAGAAAATCTCCATGTTATTTTCCTCTTCTGAGATTCTCTTAGCTCCCTAAATAATTTGCAAAATCTCTGAGTGCCGAGGCCAGTGCATTCATGATTTAGCATGGTTCCTGGACGCACCAAGCACTCAGTAAGGGCCAAAATGGGTAGAAGCATATGTTTTTCCTGATTTCTAGACTATGTGGCCATGTATTAATTTGCGTTCTCTAAAAATCTAAAGCCTAAAAGGGCTAACCTTTCCTTATTACAAAGTGCTTTCAGGAAAGCTTCTAAAACAGTGCGTCTTAAACTTTTTAAAGGTAATCTACACTCATTAATATATTATATGGGACTCAGTACACATATACATACATTGGCATGAGGCAGAGAAACAATGCTTCATGAAATGGTACTTACCTTTGTGACATTGGATACGTGTCTTGTTCTATTTTGATCAAGGTTACTTTGTGCTAATCTGTGATATACTTTCTTTTAAAAGTGTTGATCACAACTAAGTAAATGTCAACCTTCTGATGCCTCTAGATCTGCAGTTAAAAAACACTTAAAAAATTATAGCACTGACCAACATCTCAGCCACTGTTTGCCAACAGCGCCATCTGCTGGGTAGCCTTATTATAAGTACCAGTACTTTCATCAACATTTCTTTAATGGTCAATACTGTATGTATGTGTGTAACTGAGTTTCACTTTAAAATATATTTATTAGGTGGCTGCACCCCCCAAAATTTAAGAAGCAATGTTTAGAAGTCTTTTCTGTTAGTGCTTCATTGTGAAGAAGAGAGAAGCTACCCAGGGGCTGCGTGTGTCTGTATGGGTCGGGCTCCCATCCCCAGTGAGAGACCGGTGCTTCGCAGGTGCTCTTCTGATGTGTGATCGCCTCCCCTCCCAGACCAACCCCAGGGGAGGGGCCCCAGGACCTGCCTTTTGCCCAGACCCTCTCTACACACACAGGCTAGTGGGGGGCAGAAGGCAGCAGAGCTCACCTCTCCGTGGAGGCCAGGCTAGGCTCACTGCAGTACTCCACGTCCTCGCGTGCCTTTGCCTCATAGGTCTCGTCCTGAGAGAACTCCTCCTGACACACCATGGCTATCTGGCTCTCCCTCGAGTGGCACCTAAGATGTCCAAGACAAAAAAACTCAGACACCACCAGCCCTCTTCCCCTTGCCTAGACGAGTGCATCACACACACGTGCACACGCACTCACACACACAGCCGCTATGGCCACCTCCTCCTACAATCGCCCGGGAAATCAGAGCCACAGAAGCATTAGGACTGGGGTTATCATTCTATGTGGGAAAGGGGTGAGGACCCAGGAAGACCTGAGTTCTGACCCCACTCAGTTACCCTCTAGCAAAAGTGACATAAGTGGCCATGCCTCAGGATCCCCCTCCATGAAACTGGAGTAGCACGTGCCCTGCCTGACTCAGAGGCTAACTGTGAGCAATAAATGAAGCAACACATGAGATGGTGCTTTGAAAGATGGAATCAGCTGGGGTTTTTTTTAAATTATTTGTTTATTTTTAGATAGAAGGGAAGGGAGGGAGAAGAGAGGGAGAGAAACATCAATGTGTGGTTGCCTCTTATGTGGCCCCCACTGGGGACCTGGCCCGCAACCCAGGCCTGTGTCCTGACTGGGAATTAAATGGCAACCCTTTGGTTCACAGGCTGGCACTCAGTCCACTGAGCCACATTGGCCAGGGCAGGAATCAGCATTTAAGGAAGGGTGCTGAGCTGCACTATAAAGAGTGGGGTGGGCCAGTGAGAGGGCTGTCCCTTCCCTCTACTATAGGCAGTGGGGTCTTTGGGCATTTGTTGGGTAGAGCTGACAAGGTCCCAGTATCCTATTTTGACATGCTCTTGAGTTTGACATTGGACCCTGGAGTGAAGGCACAGAGAAGAAGGCTCACATTGGAGGTGGGGGGTTGTTCTTCTGAGCACAGGGGACTGCCCGAAACGCTGCTGAGCTGAAACCCCCCATGTCAGGACATGCTTTGGATTACACAATCTTCCCTCTGGGTCAGAGTCTTCTGCTCACCTTGTCTTCCTTGGCTCTGGTCTGGGTATTCTCCTCTTTCCTGTCTCTGCCTAGCTCAGTACCTTCCCATCTCATTCTTCCTCTAGAACCTGAATACTCAGGTTCAGGAACCTGGGGTCCTCTTCATCCTCAGACTCATGAGGGCATCAAGAACTATCCCAGTCTATCCTCTCAAAACTGAGTGCTGGATCAGTGCCCCAGCTTTGACCTGGGATGGAGGGCCACTCAGGAAGGGTAAGGGCAGTTCTCTGAGGAGGCCCTAACAGATGGCTGGTCACCCCACAGCCTGAAGGACAGATGAGATGTCAAAGGCTATTGATAGGGTGGGAAGAGAGGGACATGGAAGGAGCTTTGGTGAGGCACAGTGGGGTGTGCTGGACACGGAGAATGGCAGCAGGCACATAACATTACCTCTTGGGGGCCACTGTGAGCAAGGCGTGCTGTCCTGTCCCCAACAAAAGCAAGGCCAGTCCTGGAGCCACCACACCACACTTAGCCTTGAGCTGTGACATGAAAAACAAGCTCCCCGAGCTGGAACTTTGGTTAAGTTGTCCCTCTTCACCAAGTTGAAGCTTACTGCCCTGAGTGTTGTTTTTACCAACTGTGATGGAAAGGAAGAGCTGACATTCAGAGAGCATTTACTACATGCTAGGCATAGTTCTAGGTGTTTGCAGGGATCCTATTACATTAGCAGGTGTACAGTATCTGTGGGGAGATGAAGAAATCCCCTGATGTCTCTCTGACCTCCTCTCTAAAATGATTTTTTTACCTTCCTTTATTTCATACAGAACAAAGTTTAATATGAAGATTCCCTTTAAAGGAGGTTGACACACTAACGATGAAAACAACAATCCTTCCTTAAGAGGTTTGATAAGGTGAGCAGGGAAAAAATGGTGTGAGGGCTGAGTCCCTGAAGGATATAGGAGGGAGGAGAGTTGCAGAAAAGGGAGGGGGTCACCAAGACAGGCACAGGCCAGCCACTTGAACTTTGACATTCTCCAATGCAAAACCAGCCTTTCTGATCAGCACACAAGGTGCAGTGCTAGGCACACTGCCCTGCACATAGAAGGTATCATCAGTGTAACCCCAGGCAGGGCTAGTGGTGGGTGGTGCTGTCAGCTAATCTAGGCAGCACGGTGGACAGATGGCCAGTTTGACTTCTCTGTCATCAGACAGGCTAAGTGGCCAGGCTGTGTGGACTTACAAGTGGCCATGCTGGTTCCTTGAATGAAAGAAGCTCAGCACACATGTCCATGGATTTAGAAACACACTGGAACTTCTTGAGTTTTCTGAGCTCGAGGGTAGAAAAGGAGATTGGCTCAAGAACTAGGCATGCTGGGGCACTGCTGTCCTTCTGGGGTGGCCACCCCACCCTGGAAGAGCAGCTCAGCTAAGGGTGAAGTGGCGAGATGCAGAGGTGTATCCTCTCCTACCCGCATGGGAGCCCAGATCTGCTGACATAAACAGGCAGACCCTCGAGGGCCAAGCTGCATTCCTGAGGCTCAGACCATGCAGAGGGCATTACTGTCCGGGTGCATCGTGGCAATGCGTCCTGGAGCACCAGGGAGCAGAGAACAGGGAGGTGGGAGGTGCAGTCAAGACTACCAGGAATGGGACTTCCAGCCAAGATGGAGGCATAGGTAGACGCACTGTGCCTCCTTGCACAACCAAGATAGAGACAACAATAATTTAGAAACAGAATAACAACCAGAACTGACAGATAATTGATCTGAATGGAAGTCGGACAACCAAGAAGTGAAGATAGACTCGTTCATTCAGACCGGTAGGAGGGGTAGAGTTGGGCAACCAGGCGTGGGTCCAAGCACGGAGAGCAGAGAGTGTTGGGATGAGCTCATAAGGCATCTAGGGTATGTAAAATCTCAGGGGGTGGACCCTGAATGCGCAAGTGGCAGCTGGCAGACCCCAGCCCAAGGGGGGGCAACCGGCAGACCCAGCAAGGTGATGATTGTGAAGCAAGGCACTGTGAACAACCCAGGATCCCAGTGCTGGAAAATAGAGCCTTGAGGCACTGATTGAAAACACCTGTGGGGGTTGAGGCCCAGGGAGATACTCCCAGCCCCAAAGGAGAGGGCCTTGGAAAGTCCCACGGGGTGAACAAGCCCACACACATGGGTACTGGCACCAGAGGGGCCCAGTTTGCTCGGGGGAAAGTGGCAGAAGGGACTGAGGTCCGATGAAGAGGGGAGCAAGCACCATTGTTCCTTCTCGGACCCCAACCCCACACACAGCATCACAACCCAGCAACTGGGGTGTCCCACCCTGGTGAACACCTAAGGCTCTGCCCCTCATATGTAACAGGTATGACCAGACCAAAGGGTCGGGGGGAAGATGGCTCAAACAGAATTGAAAGCCCCCCAATCAGTACTTTTAAGTGACTGAGAGATAGCCAACCTATCAGATGCACAGTTCAAAGCACTGATGACCAGGATGCTCATAGAATTGGTTGATTTTGGTTGCAAATTAGATGAAAAAATGAAGGCTACAATAAGTAAAATGAAAAAAATGCACAGGGAACCAATAGTGATGGAATGAAAGCTGGGTCTCACATCAATGGAGTGGACCAGAAGGAAGAAAAAAAAACATACAACCAGAAAAGAATGAAGAAATAAGAATTCAAAAAAAAATGAGGAGAGGCTTAGGAACCTTCAGGACATCTTTAAATGTTCCAACATCTGAATTATAGGGGTACCAGAGGAGAAGAGGAAGAGCAACAAGTGGAAAAGTTATTTGAACAAATAATAAAGAAATTCCCCATTCTGGCAAAGGAAATAGACTTCTAGGAAGTCCAGGAAACTCAGAGAGTCCCAAAGAAGTTGGACCTGAGAAGGAGCACACCAAGGCACATCATAATTACATTAGCCAAGGTAAAAATGAAGGAGAGATCCTAGAAGCAGCAAGAGGAAAGGAGACAGTAACCTACAAAGGAGTCCCCATCCGACTGTCAGCTGATTTCTCAAGAGACCTTGAAGGCAAGAAGGGGCTGGAAAGAAGTATTCCAAGTCATGAAAGGCAAGGACCTACATCCCAGATTGCTCTATCCAGCAAAGCTTTCATTTAGAATGGAAGGGCAGATAAAATGCTTCTCAGATAAGTCAAGTTAAAGGAGTTTATCACCACCAAGTCCTTATTTTATGAATTGTTAAAGGGACTTATCTAAGAAAAAGAAGATAAGAAAAAGAAGATAAAAACATGTATAGTAAAATGATAGCAAACTCACAATTATAAACAACTTCACTTAAAATAAAAACAAAAACAAACTAAGCAAACAACTAGAACAGGAACAGAACCACAGAAATGGAGATCACATGGAGGGTTAGCAACAGGGGAGTGGGAGGAGGAGAGAGGGGGGAAAGGTATGGAGAATAAGTAGCATAGATGGTAGGTAGAAAATAGACAGGGGAGGGCAAGAATAGTATGGGAAATGTAGAAGCTAAAGAACTTATGACACATGGACATGAACTAAAGGCGGGGAATGTGAGTGGGAGAGGGTGTGCAGGGTAGAGGGGAATGAAGGGGAGAAATGGGACAACTGTAAAATATATTTTTAAAAAGACTACCAGGAATGATCCTATACTGGGGCAGAATGAGCTAGCGCTACAGCGAAGGACCTCCTGACACCAAAATGCCCTCCCTGGAGATGTGAGAAAGGTATAAAGAGGAGGCAGTAGCTTCATTCCCCTCCCAATTGGGCTAAAGGCCAGATTTTCTCAGAGACATGGGAAAGGCCAGGGGAATAGCAGCCAGGATGCAAACATCTTGGGGATCAGGGGCCAGGGCTCTCTGCAAGTGTAGGAGTGTAGGATGAAAGAGCAGAGTAGGCTCCGTCCTGAGCTGTGTTCCTCAGGACACCTGCTGGCCAGTGGGGTCACGGTGTCTCCCCTGAGTTTGGCTGCCACGTGCAATCAAGGGCAGGACTGGGAAATAGCATTCATCCAGCTCTGTCCCTGGGTCCGGAGCAGCAGTGTCCATTCCAGCTTGAGGGGTGAGAGGTAAACGTGGAGGCCAAACTCTGCCCATCTGGACCACCTCTGAGCTGGAATGGCCCCTGTGCATGAGCTCTGGATGCCCCACCTTCCTGCTTACCTCTTGGAGCTGAGCTTCCACGATGCCTCCTGTACTCGGATGGCAGGAGACAGGGGCGGGCCGTGGCCCTCCACAGTGCTGACCTCGCTGGGGTAGCCAGTGGGGCGGGGAAAGCGGCCCAGAGCTGTGTTGTTGGCATTGTTGATGTTGGCATTGGAGCCAGTGGAGGAGTAGCTGCTGGGGGTGAAGGTGGAGTCTACCAGCTTTTCGTGGGACGGCGATTCAGTGTCACCAGGACTGTTACTCGTCTTGTTGATGTGCAGCGGGCGCTGGGTGGTGAAGGTCTGGGGGAAGGCGCTTCGGCCATCACTTTGGTAGTAGCTGACGTGGTTACCGAACAGGCCTCCGGCTCTCTGTAGGCAAGAAGGGAGGGGTGGGTGCAGGAGAGCACCCCTCAGCAACCTCTCCTGCTCAGGCAGGGCACAGAGAGTCATCTGCCCTCCAGAGAGCACAGCCACACTGGAAGCACGTGGCATTCTTCACCTACGTGGCCTGGCAGCTGGAGAGGCAGGGCCCCAGACAGTCCCCTCTGAAGGGGCTGGGGGAATGGTGAGGACAGGACACCCTGTGGGAACCAGTTATGGGGGAAGCTGCTGTCCTGGAAGTTTCCACTGAACCTCCTGAAGACCAGGGTTGAGTTTCTAGGACAAGTCTAGGGTAGCAGTCCTTCCCTGCTGCAGCTGCTGGGTCTGGCAGCTGTGAGGTGCTGTGAGGTCTGAGGGGAGGGAGAAGGGGCCAGAAGATTCCAACAAGATTTTTAAAAATGGAAATCCAGCTGGCGCAGTGGGCTAGAAACTGTGTTAGTCAAAAAGTTTTGGAAACAAAGACGGATTTTCTACCTCAATTATACAGTATTACGGCCTCCTTTCCCCTAGAAGGTTCTCAAAGATTTCAAATCTAGAACTAGCGTTTATTCCTAACATTCTTTCTTGGTCCTGGGTAAGTGGGCAAGTCAAATTTGCAAGGTCAGTCTGCGGGGTCTCAGCGGGGTAGTGTTAACCTGCCGCTGTGTCCCTAAGGCCATTCGGTCATGAACATTTCACAGTGACGGGAATGAGGATGGTGATGACAGGACTGCTGCAGGCAGGACGGGTTCATCTTCACCCCCTGTGTTTGCACAGCCGAAGAGCCCTGGCATGGGGGCTGGGCAGGCAGGGGTGAGTGGGCCCTGGTGCAGTTATGGTGGGTAGCTTCTCCCGTGCTAGAGAAGAATGTTTGGCTAAATACCTTCGGAATCAGGCAGGTGCTACCAATGAATGGAGAGATTCTAGCTGTGTTTAGTTCTCACTGTAACACTGGTGGTCAGCTTCCATGTCCAGGAAAGGAGAGGGGAGGCTGGGGGAGACTTCTGTGACCTGGGGAACACATGTTCTATCTCGAGAAGACAATTGCTACTTGGTCTCAGCCCCCCTGCTGCCATGTGGGAGCATAGTCTGACATTGTCAGACCTTCTGATGTTCTCAAGAGAAGCCAGGAGTCTAGGTCTTTATGTGAATGTGCCAGATTTTCAAATGTTGGCAAACAAAATAGGCCTGCAGATTAGATGTGGCCCAAGGGCCAGCACTTTGCAGTTTCTAATGTAGGTTTCTCCTTGGAAATATTTCCATTAGGAAAATGGGCTTTCTAAACCCTCACCAGCCCATGATGATCTCTGAGCTGCCATGTCCTGGAGGCCCTGGTCTGAGGAGTCTGGCTGGGACAAAGTGGAGGGATAGGAAATGGTGGAGTGGGAAGAGCTTGGAATCTGCCACAGAACTCAAGCCTTTCTCCCTGGGTTTCCTGGCAGAACAGCAGCCCACCCTCCTGCTTCAAAGGGAACTTTATCAAGGTCAAGAGTGCTGTGTGGCTCCACCTACCCTGAAGATGTCATCCTCGGAGGCAGCAGACACAGCCTCCTTCATGGCCTTGTCCAGCTCCTCCTCAGCTGTCAGGTCCCCTGAGATGGCCCTGCGGATCTCAGGCCCGATGTCGTGCAGCGTGCGCAAGCCCGCCTGGAACCAGAGGCACCTGTGAGGGCCTGGCGCTCCCTCACCCAGCGGTCGACTCCCTGTGTGCACCACGCCTCGGGCTTGCAGAAGGCCTGTCTGCGCATGCTAACCACGGATGTGATCCAGGACCTCTGTGTCTACTCAGAGAGGGAGAATCCACCCCTTGACCCAAGAAAGGTGGAGGCATGGAGGAAGGGGCCTTCAGCTGAGCTCCAGAGAGCTGGACACCATGGAGTGGGCTGGACCACGGAGGCCAGTGTGTGCAGAAAGAAGGGAGGAGGGAGAGGACAGTGTCCTCTCTTCTCACACATCTATCTTTGGAAGGCAGCTGGCCTCCAATACACTGGGGAGAGGCTTGGGCCTTGGCCAGAGGTCAGAGGAAGGTGAGCAGGCCTTTCCTCGGCTTGTGTCCCCCTGGCCCCTCACCTGCAGGGACAAAGCATTCCTCTGGGAGGGCTTGCCCACGAGGCCTTGCTCTTTGCGTTTCTTGAATTTCCGGAAGTACTCTTGGATCAGGAAAGTCGCATAGAACTTGCCGACCGTGACTTCGTCATCTGAGACATTTGAAGAGAGGATAGGGGATTGGAGGCGAACAAGGGAAATTCAGTTAGGCTTTATTAATTTGTCTTCAGCATCCTAACTTTTATATTTTTAAATTTATTTTTTGGAACAGATAGTACATTCACATGGTTCAAAAAGAAAAAAAAAACATAAAAAGTTATATAGTGAAAAGTCTCTCTCCCCCTGCTCCCTTCTGCCATGTTACTACCTCCTAATTGATAATCTTTTTGATTAGTTTTTCATTTTTCCAGAGATTCTTTATGTCAATGCTTTCTGTAAATAAGCAAGTATATTCTTTAATCCCCCTTTTATAACAGAAAAAGTAGCCTATTGTCAAAATGATTTCCCACCTTGCTTTTTTTTAACTGACATTACTAACAAGTTCTTATTTGATTCTAAAGCTTCAGATACCATCATAAATCAACCAGTCTGCTAAGTATAAATATAATTTTGCTTAAAGATAAGCAGAAGGTTTGGTAGAAGAAGCACCTTTTTCCTGTGCAAATTTGGGTTTTTCTTTCAACCAAACAGATTGGGTTTTCTCACATGTGGCTTGGCTGGGTTCCTGTTGGGCTGGCCCCAAGTTACCCAGGGCATCCTCAGTCCCTGTCTTGAGAATGAGCCATGTGGTTGGTGAGCCAGTAGGTCTCTAACAGGATTATTGCATGCCTTACAAGGAGCCCCTTTGCTCCACCTCTTAGTTCTCTGTGAAGGAAGGGCAATGGGCTAGGAGACAGCTGGTTGGGTCAGATCTAGGGGCTTGTGATGATTCTCTTGCTTCTAGTTATCTCTAAGGAATGCCCAAATCCACAGCAGTGATGGCCTTCCACTGGCAAGGGCCTCATTCTCATGTGGGAGGAAAACCCCCTGAGCTCTTGCTCAGAGCAGCCAGGGAGGAACTGTACCAGGAAATTGTGTTCTGGCATCCCTCAGACGCAGGTTCAAATCCTGAATCTGCTAGGTACTCACCACATAGCCTTAGGCCAGCTACTTAGTTTCTAAGACTTCAATTTTTTGAGCAAACTTCATGGAAACATTATAAGGAGCAAAAAAAATAATGTGTGTAAGATAGTCACCTCTGTGACTCCACTTAATCCAAGTCCTGCTTTCTGTCTGGGAAGCGGTTCTCAGCAAGGGTGGTGTCACCTTTTAAAAAGCATTTTGGAAATGTCTGGGACTTTTTTAGATGTCACAGTGACTTAGGGGTGCTGCTGGTATTAAGTGGCAGAAGCGTGTTCTGCATAGCAAATAACAGATTTGCACTCTGCATGCTTCCCACGTGTTAGCCAGGACAGCCCTGTGTGGGAACAACCTGCTTGTAACTGTCTGAGCTGAGAACCTAGCTTCATTTCATATGTGAATACAAAACATTTTTTGCATCGTTTTAATATATCCAGAATATATTAAAGAATATATATATCCAGAATATATATAAAGAATATATATTAATATATTCAGGAAGATAGCCGCTGTGTAAATTGATAGAAGACTTTGTTTTGTTTCAGTGGGACCGAGAGGCCTCAGCTTGGAGAGTCGCACCCCTGACGTCAATGCTCCCTGTGCTGTGGGGTTGACCACCGGCTCTGACCACCTGCCGAGGCCTGCACGGGTCCTCTGTGTGTGCATGTATGTAGGATATGTGTGTGTGCACATGTGTGCAGTTATTTAAATCCCCTTAGCCCTTACTTCAAAGTGTCAATGATATTCAACAGTCTTTCTTCCTTTAAACACACTTATTTGTCATAAACGGGCACACACAAGGAGTTCTTCAGTTAATTTTAACTTCTGGACTAGTCGTGCCTGAGCATGTGTATGCTGAATAACATTTGATTTTAATACAGTTTGTATGAGTTAAAGCATTATATTAATACTTTGGAAATTATATGCAACAGAAGGTTAGTTACCTGTGACTTTCATTCAGAACAGCAGCAGGGGCATCAGACCCCATTTGTTATGGAAAGGAGCTGTGGGTACACTGGGGTGGGGGGCAACCCTGCTCTGGGAAGGACACAGCACGTTTCTACGAGGAGGGGCTCTCAGGGGCCTGCCATCACTGGAGCTCTCAGCCCAGTGGTTTATGGGGGGATGTTTACTTGTGATTTTCCTGAAGTTCTGCCTCTCCTCTCAGCATCAAGGGGCCTTGACCAGTTTCATCTGGGAGTTGCAGGACCAGACCAGATTTCCAGCCTGACAGCCCATCTCTGAGTTTGCAAAGGGTATGGATGGCACCCTCGTCCCTTCTCGCTGTGAGGCCTTCCAGGCTGACAGGCATGGTCTGGGAAAGGGGACCTCCTGCAAGCCCTGTAACTCCAGAACAGGTAGGTGGTGAGCGTGTGTGAATCGGAAAGCTCTTACCTCCAGCGGGGGGCACCACTTGGTCCAGCAGCTTCATGCTTGTCCGCTTCCAGATCTTCTTGATGATGGCCCGCAATTCCTCATTGGCTTGTTCCAGGTTCCCTGAGGGGAGGGAGGTGGGCGTGAGGCTGACATGATCACCGGCCCCTTGAAGGGCTCCCCATGGGGTGTGCCCCCGACACGGTCCTAATCCCTTGTTTCGTTCTCTTTCTCCCCTGTCTTCTTACTGTCTGCCCCCATCCTCCTCTTTCCCTCCCACATCCTGTCCAATGCCATTCTTTCTCAAACCGGCCAATGGCATCTCTTCACCCCACACACTGCTTTTCCCAAGCTGATAAGACTGCTGGTGCAGGATGGAGCTCAACAGCCATTGGCCAGGAGAGCACAGGGGCTCTACATAGACAGCATTTCTTATAGCCTGTGGTTGCCAGGGAAACTCAGGTGATAGGGAAGGAGAGCAGTCTCCCCCAGTGTCAAAGCCCTTTGCTGAGTCTCCTGTGGGGAGGATATGGCATGACCTCAGTGTGGAAACAGAAATCAGAAGACACTGGGTTCTCTTGGTCCACTTTCTCCACTGGCAAAACAGGTGTAGTTAGGTGCCTACCCACTGCAGCCTCTGGGCTATGGGCCTTATTACTGTATGAGAAGAAAGCTGAGACCTGCAGCTACAAAACAGGATGGGGTAGCAGGATTCTGAGATGCCCCCCAAACTCCCTCTCACCATCACCAATGCATACATACCCTGTACAACCCCTGGGGCTGTGAATATAATGGATTTTACCATGATTAGGTTATACTGTATGGCATATATGACCTCAAAGTAGGGAGGTTGTCTAGGTGAACCTGACCTAATCACATGAGCTCTTTGAAAGTTCTTGGGTACAAACTTCCAGTTATAAAATATATAAGTCCTGGGAATATAATGTACAGCTTGGGGACCATAGTTAATACTGTATCACATATTTGAAGGTTGCTAAGAGAGTAGATGTTAAAAGTTATCATCACAAGAAAAAATTTGTAACCACGTATGGTGACAGATGGTAACCTGACTTATCGTGGTGATCATTTCACAATATATACAAATATCAAATCATTATGTTGCACACCTGGAACTAATATAATGCTATATGTCAATTGTACCTCAATTAAAAAAAAACAACAAGACAAACAAACAAAATGAAAAAGTAATGTGTGAAGAGGGCCAAAAGGTAAAAGCAGACAGTTCTCTCTGGCTGGGAGCAGGAGGGAGAGAGAGTGGTATGGGCCTGGGAGAAGGCACACACCGTGTTGTGACCCAACGGGGACAGGCAGCCTCCAGGGCTCAGGGCCCTGGGCAGGGCCAGCAGACGATGGCCGGACATGAGTCCTGCCAATGACCTGAATGTGCTGGATGAGGATTCTTGCCCAGAGCCTCTGTAACAGGACACATCCTGATCGATAGTTTGGTTTTGGCCTATAAGACCCTGAGCAGAGAACTCAGCTACCCCATGGCTCCACTCCTGACCTACAAAACTGGGAGCTGATAACTGGGTGTTGTTTTAAGCCAAAAAATTGGTGGTAATTGGTTATACAGCAATAGGAAACCAATACAGGCAGACCTCGAAGATATTGCAAGTCCTATTTCAGACCCCCTTCATAAAAGCAAATATTGCAATTAAGCCAGTCACATGATTTTTTGGTTTTCCAGTGCATATACACATTATGCTTACACTACACTGTGGTCTATGAATTGTGCAATAGCACGATAGCTATAAAAATGTAAATATCTTAATTGAAAAATACTTTATAGCCAAAAATTGCTAACCACCATTGAGCCTTCAGCGAGTCCTAATCTTTTTGTTGGTGAAGGGTCTTGCCTCAGCATTGGTGAAAACCTGGTACGGATCTGCAAGCACAATGACTCGAGGACTGCCTGTGCCAGACTGCTTGCTGCTGTTACACAGGGAGGCGGTGGGTCCCGAGCTCCGATGTGGGACTGCCTGACTGCAGTCACTCTGTGGCCATGCCAGAGAGGCTTCCCTGGAAGGAAGCCCAGTGGGAGCAGGCAGAGCTGGCAGTGGAGGGAGTGTGACTGACTCCTGAGTCCCCTGTGTGACTGTCAGATCCAAGCGGGACCTGAAGCCAGAGGGCAGTCCTTGGCATTCTAGTTATGCAGGGAGTCCTTCATGGTTACATTCCCTTATTGGTGAAGGTAGTTAGTGCTTTCTGACATATGCGGTGAAGGAGTCAAAATTAATGCAACGCTCAAATACACTCATCTTCTGTAGTGGGTTCAATAGTGCCCCTTCTAAATCCATGTCCACATGGAACCTTGGCATATGACCTTAGTTGGAAACAGTCTTTGCAGATGCAATCAGCTAAGGTGAGCTCTACTTGGTTGGGCCCTAATCCAATATGACTGGTGTCCTGATTCGATGAGGAGGAGACACACAGGGAAGAAAGCCATGAGAAGACAGCAGCGGCTGGAGGGGTGCAGCCACCAGGAGCTGGGATCGAGGCACGGAACAGATTCCCTCTCAGAGCCTCTGGAAGGGGCCTCTGGCTGATGCCTTGATTTTGAACTCTAGCCACCTGAACTCTAAGAGAAAAAAATTCTGTCGTTTAAGCATCCAGTTTGTGATAGTTTGTTATGGCAGACTCAGGCAACAAATACATCTTCCAAAAGAATCTTCCATATTTTTTTCAAGCCTCAATTTATTCTCACAGTGATCCACATAATTGTGTAACTTCACCAACAGTCATTTCACCTCATCTAAGTACAGTACTTACCTTCCTGCTGCATCCCAAAGGTGTGTGTGGCACAGGACTGGTGCTCTGAAGTGGCTGTCATTTTCTGTCCACTTCCTTTCATGCTCAAAATTGAAGGGTAAGGACTGGTGACCACTTCATCCTCACAGATTTAGATGCTTCCCCTCATTTCTTTCTGGTTGCTTGTAGGAACCCCCCTGTATCTTCTAGACTTAGCAATGAATACTTGGCGGCGGGGCTGGGGGGTGCGGGGCTTGTTGCTAATAAAGGTTTGCCCCTGAGCTGGCACTATGGACCCTTTGGCAGCTATTCCTTTTCTTTTTTCCTGAATTTTAATTTATTACGGTAAGAACACATAACACAAGCTCTACCTGCCTGACAGAATTTTAAGCATGCAATACAGAGTCATGACCTGTAGGGGCAGTGTTGTGTGGTAGATCCATGTCTTTGTGTTTACAGTCTTCTTTAATTCTTGATTATAGTTCCCATGTGGCTGGCTTCTCCTCTTGTCCCAGAGTGCTCACTTCCTGGAGACGGGATATGTGCACCAGCTACTTCACCCAGCTCCTTGCATGCCCTCGGTAGTTGGTATCCTTTAGCTGGGCTTGGTTTGAGCTTACATCCTGTCTTCAATAGTAAGGACCTGGCTTCCTCCATGAATGAAAATGTACTACCTTGATTTACATCAAGCTGTAAGTATTGCAGGATATTCCCCCTAGTAGTCATCAAATTTTAACTCCTTGGAAAAGAAAATCCTTTCTCCTGGATGTAATTGCGATAGTCATTGTAAACAATTTGGAAAGTAATAAAAGTAAAGGAAGGAGGCAAAAGTCCCTGCTCATTCTACTACTCAGTGATAATGCCAACAAATTTCCTTCCAATTTTTCCTTGTTATACACGCAGTAGATTAAATGTGTGTTCAGTCCTTCCAGGGTGAGAAATAGGCCTATTTACACCTACTTCAGATTGTGCTATCGCTCTGGCTACTGAGAGGGTATTCTGTAGCCTTTGTTTCTTTTTAGTTTAGCAGCAGAACTTAAACTATTTTTAATGTTTTTTTAAAAATGAGCTCATGATTTTGACATGTATCTTGCTTGTTTGTTCTTGTTTTCTTTCATTTCAGATGTTTCTCTTACTTTCTGGAAGGCTTCAGCTGAGAGAAGGCACCTCTCTGGGCTGTTTACTGAATTGAGTTCCCACATATCACTTCATCACCTTCCTTACTTTACAAACGAAGAAACTTAAGTAGAGAGAGAGTAAATGACGTCACACATGTTATCAGATTCAGGTCTCCCATCTCCCTGCCCAGCAGTCTGGCTATTGTGCGAAAGGACAACACCATGACTGGCAGCCTGAGACTCCAAGACTGAAGCATTAGGAAGGACAGAAGACATATTGCTTATCTGTTCTGTGTTTTCTCTGATTTCAATACAAGAGGTTTTCAAACTTTAGTTCCTGTATGAATCTTTTTTTAACCTTCCATGTGATCTCCATTTCTTTTTTTAAATATATTTTATTGATTACACTAAATTACAGTTGTCCCATTACAGTTGTCCCACTTTACCCCTTCACTCCCCTCCCCCCGCCCACCCCCTCCCACCCACATTCCCCCCTTTAGTTCATGTCCATGTGTCATAAGTTCTTTAGCTTCTACATTTCCCACACCATTCCTGCCCTCCCCTTGTCTATTTTCTACCTATTGTCTATGCTACTTATTCTCTTATCTTCTCCCCCTCTCTCCTCCTCCCACTTCCCTGTTGCTAACCCTCCATGTGATCTCCATTTCTGTGGTTCCGCTCCTGTTCTCTTTGTTTGCTTAGTTTGCTTTTGTTTTAGGTGTGGTTGTTACTAACTGTGAGTTTGATGTCTTTTTTTACTGTTCATATTTTTTATTTTCTTTTTCTTAGATAAGTCCCTCTAACATTTCTTATAAGAGCTTGGTGATGATGAACTCCTTTAACTTGAACTCATCTGGGAAGCACTTTATTTGCCCTTCCATTCTAAATGAAAGCTTTGCTGGATAGAGCAATCTTGGATGTAGGTCCTTGCCTTTCATGACTTGGAATACTTCTTTCCAGCCCCTTCTTGCCTGCAAGGTCTCTTTTGAGAAATCAGCTGACAGTCTGATGGGAACTCCTTTGTAGGTGACTGTCCCCTTATCTCTTGCTGCTTTTAGGATTCTCTCCTTCATTTTCACCTTGGCTAATGTAATTATGATGTGCCTTGGTGTGTTCCTCCTTGGGTCCAACCTCTTTGGGACTTTCTGAGCTTCCTGGACTTCCTGGAAGTCTATTTCCCTTGCCATATTGGGGAAGTTCTCCTTTGCTATTTGTTCAAATAACTTTTCCACTTGTTGTGTTTCCTCTTCCCCTTCTGGTACCCCTATAATTCCGATATTGGAATGTTTAAAGATGTCCTGGAGGTCCCTAAGCCTCTCCTCATTTTTTTGAATTCTTGTTTCTTCATTCTTTTCTGTTTGGTTGTTCCTTTCCTCCTTCTGGTACCTTCCATTGATTTGAAACCCAGTTTTCTTTCCATCACTACTGGTTCTGTGTGCATTTTCTTCATTTCACTTATTGTAGTCTGCATTTGTTCATCTAATTTATAACCAAAGTCCACCAATTCTGTGAGCATCCTGATCACCAGTGCTTTGAACTGTGCATCTGATAGGTTGTCTGTTTCTCGGTTGCTTAAAAAAGTGGCTCTGGGGCTTTTAACTCTGTTTGACCCATCTTTTTAATTTAATTTTATTTTTTCTTTTGGTCTGGTCACACCTGTTACGTATGAGGGGCGGAGCCTTTAGGTATTCACCAGGGTGGGGCACCTCAGTAGCTGGGTTGTGACATTGTATGTGGGGGCGGGGTTGAGAGTGAACAATGGCGCCTGCTCTGCTCTCACCAGGACTCCAGTCCCCCTTGCCGCTTCCCACAAGCAAACTGGGCCCCTCTGGTGCTGGCTCCCGGGCAGGTGGGCTTGTGCACTCTCTCGGACTCTGTGGGTTTCTCCAAGGAGCCTCCTGTGAGGCTGAGAGAATCTCCCAGCCTCAACTTCCACAGGTGTTTTCAATTGGTGCCTTCAGGCTTTGTTTCCCGGCGCTGGATCCCTGGGTTGCTCGGTCTGTGTCGCGCTGCTCGTTTTTGCTTAGTTTGTCTGTGAGCTAGTTCCTGTATGAATCTTAACGTGGCTAGTTGAAAGGGCAGATCCCTGAGCCCTGCTCTGAGACTCAGGTTTAGAGATCTGGGCTGGTGCTTGGAACTCAGTATTTTAAAAAACTCTAATAGGTGAATTTGAGGTAGGTGGTCTTTTGATCACACTCTGCAAAACACTTTTATAGGCTAGCAGTTCTTGGAGAGCAAGTGCATCTTCTTTGGCACATTTCATATAGCCTTTTCCACAGAGTGGTTCAGAGATGCTTATCAATTATACCAACAGCCTGTTATTGCCGCCAAAGCTGCTGCAGCCTACTGGGTGCCTATGAGCAAACTAGAAGAAGGTGCCCCTCCAGACAGCCACAGGCCAGAGGGAACATGGCTGCCTAGGAGAGCACAGGTGCGACCTCCACCCCTACCTGTTGCTGGCAGAGCCCTTGTGCCATGACATGTGATGACTTCAACCACAGTCTCCATTCGCCACCATGACCCCTTCCCCACACAGGTCTTTTTAATTTAAAAGGAGTGTTGAGCATTTAACAGGCCCACTTGCCGACAAAATTACAATGAGGTGGGCTTGGTGTTGCTTTGGCCAACATTCATTTGTTTCTGCTTTTTGAACTATACCCTGTGACTTCAAGATGGAAAGCTAGAGTTCAGAATAAATAAACTAGAAGGAAACAGATCATTAAAGAAGCAAGGAAGACACAACCAGGCTTCTGCATCCCTGAGGTGCAGGTCACCGCTGGACCACAGCTCTGTGCAGGCAGGAGACCCTGCAACATCGCACAGGCTGCTGACTGCCTTTCTGGCTGGTGTGCTACATCTTCTGAATGGGTGATTCTTACCTTCTGTTTTGATTCTCAGTGCTGTCCGGACCAGGGCAAATAAGGTGGCATTGAACATGACTGTCCCATCACTGTTCAGAGGCATGTTCATGGAGACCAGACGCTAGAGGGGGAGGGGAGGCAAAGCTGGTGATTACAGCAAATGGTTCCAAAGGACCCACAGAAACAGCACAGCAGGAGGATGCTGGGAGGGAGCCTCTAAACTCGTGGGCATGTGCCCAGACTGGGGTGGCGGTATCTAAGCATTAATCACTGAAATGTATTCAGAACCTATGCTGGGGGGTCTTGGCTCTGCCAAAAGTACTCTTGTCCTGCTGCACAGAGGGAGGGAGGAATGGAGTTTGTCCCTAGTAGACCCTTGCTTCCACCCTCTTCCCGTTCAGACGCTGCTCACACACGTGGCTGTGCTCTGTGTGGCAACAAAGGACAGCTGTGTGCAGGCATATGTGGGCACCCACCTGCCAACCTACATCCTTTTAAAGCCCTGATCAGAGAGAAAATAATGGAAGATGCTCTCAGGAGATGCATATTTCTCCTGTATATTAAAAAATCTTCCTCTATACCAAGCTGGATCGGCAGCCTGCTGTCACTGGATAAGACTGGATGGCCCTCTGTCAATTCCTTCCCACCCCCAAGGTTGCTGCCATTGTGCTGTGCCCAGGGGCAGGGCCCTTAGCACACACAGGGTCACTGCGAGAAAGAGCACCATAAGATTCACCCTGGCACCTGTCAAGATGTGGTTAAGGGTACTATTCTTTAGGTCACATGGTGTCCTCCTATTAATCACAGTGCCCAAAAGGGTTGTAATTCCTCTGAGTGACTGGATCTTCTTGATTCTCACGGATAGTGCGATCTTAGAGTGGTCCCCAGAAAGCATAAAGCTCAGCCAACACCCATGCAGGCCCCTGTGAGGCCCCGAGGGACACACTGTGGCCCCACGCAGGCTGCGCTCCCCCTGCTGTTGTTTTCCAACCTGCTTTCCCTGGCATTTAATTTGTGCTCTTCTTTCCCCTCATACTTTCTATGCCCTTGGAAATCTTCTAAAATCTTTTGTTTTTTTTTGTATGAAGTGGAGGTACAAGTAAGGAAAAATGGAGTAAAACAGAGCATAAACAGAAGGTCCTATATTCCTTCATTTCTCCATTTTCCTTGAGTGGATTATCCACAGAGCTGAATTTTTCTGTTTGTGTTTCTTCCTCTGCATAGATCTCTGACATCACTTCACACAACCCCCTTTTTGACTTGTCACTATTCTGGCATGGAACGCAGAATGATGATAGTGAGAATTAAAGAAAGGGGACGAGAGTGGAAATGAGACTCCAGCAGAGTGCTGGGCTACATGGTAGGGATTACGTGAGGCAAGAGAGGGCACACAATTTCAGGGGGCACTCCCTCTCAGGGTCAGGCAAGACCCCGTGGGCACAAGTTGGGTCTAGCAGAACCTGGGATGTCTGTCTTTAACATCATCGTGTTACTTAGAGATCTGATGAACATGATGGACTCTATCCCTGGTGCAATTTATGAGTGTTTCAGTGATTTCATACACAATTGTAGGGCTTCATGTGTCCCTGAAACTGATGCGTGGACTCTAATGGCCCTGTGATCCCAGGAAATCACCATAACCTACCTGTCCTAAACAGGAAGTTTCCCAGGTTGCCTGGGGCACAGCCTGATGGGACAGCAAAGTCTGCTCAGAACAAGGTCCTTTACTCTGGACTGGGCACATAGCACGCTGCAACATAGGGCATTCACTCTGTTTTTCCTTTATCAGGTCTGAGAACTTATTGCTTGAAGGAACCTTAGAATACATTCTGGCTCAAGCTCATTTCCTTAGGCACATATAATATTGTCTTCACGCCCTTAAAGGATCAATGGCCTGACCACAGTAACAAGACAAATAGGCATCTCGCCTCCCATAGTTTTTTCTTTCTCCCACGAACACAGGTTGTCTCTTACTTTGCAAGCCACACGGTGAGGGCACAGCTTCCCAAAACCCAGTGGGGGCTGAATCCGCCGAAGCAGGGTCACCACATCCAGGTGTTTGATACGACCCCTGGAAGAGGAAGGAGGGGAGGGGGAAGTCAGTCAGGGGCGCAGTGCTGGTCAGCAGCCCAGGACTTGTGGACCTGAGAGGTGGTGGGGCCCACCTCCAGGAAGAGCTCTCCGAAGTGTAGCCCTATTGGTCAAACTCAGTGCAGAGCTGCAGAATCACACAGTGAAACTCCAAACCAACAAATACATGTTTAGATTTTAATGAGCCATTTTCAAGTAGTTTATGTTCAGTTCAAGGTGGAAAGGATTTTGGAAGTATAATGAAATTCTCAACATGTACTTGCTACTTCAATCAACTAACAGCCTGACCAAAAGACACAATAGTTATTGTCAGCAAAAGGTGATTGATTGAGGAGGGTTTCCTTGGACCAGAGGCAGGAATGGAGTTGAGATGTTCCTGGCCCTAAACATCCTAACTTGAGTACCTACCAGTTATTAGTAATACTGGGATCTTATATCCTTCCATTCAACTGAAAATAGCAGGTATGTTCCTGACCTAGCCAAAGGTGCCTGGCTTCTTATTGCTGGCCCTTGACCCTTGGCCCTGGGGTGTGGTACAATTCAGTGTTTCCAGTGGATCCACCCAGGCTAACTAACCTATCTTGACCCTGTCCATACCATACCATAGGTATGGTTGTGCAATCCTCTCCTTCGGCTTTGGGATTAGAATTTCCCTCTGGGAACTTACTTGGCTTCCGGGTCATACTCTGCCCAGATTCTTTTAAATTCGTCCAGATGGTGGGGACCAAGGATTGACCAGTCCCTTGTCAGGTAGTCAAAGTTGTCCATGATGACAGCTACAAAGAGGTTGATGATCTGCAGAAAACAGAGAGTATGATGCGTCACCTAAGAGGGCCTTCCTGCACACTTGCCACTTGAATCCACTTTGCCAGCAGTGCCCCGTGTGGCAGGAGCCAACATTTCCAAGGATCAGCCACATGCCACCATTTAAAACACCAACCCCTGGAACTTGGGCTTCTTGGCTATGGACATCACACAGCTCCCCTTCAAGTTGTGTGGGGTGAACCCACACGTGGCTGGACAGCTTCCCTCAAACCAGGCTGCCAAGGACAGAGGGCAATGTTATCCACTCTCATTGCCCAGCAAAGTGCCAAAAAGTCTTTGTTGCCTCTAGGCCTCCATGGATATCTCCTGTGTCCTCTGGGACAATGCCACCATGACAATAAGCCAAGAATGGACAAGAGACATGCTGGGTGAAGTCACTCTGGCTCAGGCTTTCTGCCCCTATCTCAGTGTGGTTGGACACTTCTACTAAGTCAGTCTTTCCAAGCCAACTCCTCGGCAGGGTTCACCTTGACCCCGGGCTGCAGAGCTGGTGAGCTCAGGCTGCCCTGAGCTTCATGCTCATTCCCTGTCACTGTTTAGTGCCACCCTGGCTTACCAGGAAGGCACAGAGCATGTAGAAGCTGATGAAGTAGAAGACGGCGAAGCTGCTGCCACAGGGTGTCTCCCCTTCCGTGCTGTTGCTGGGCTCAGACTCTGGGGCACACTTCTTCCCTGGCATGCAGGCCAGCATGATGTCCTGCCACGCCTCCCCAGTGGCGCACCTGGAGCAGAGAGGTGACAGAGCCCAACACCATGTAGCCAGGTACACACCTGTGGGTCCTTCCCTGACCCTCTGCCCTTGCTGTCTTCCCCATGGGGAACTGCTAAATTGAACCTGGAGTTGGTCATTCCCTGAATGCTCTGATACGTTCACTAAATATGGAAATACATAGCATTGTTTCAAATGTTTTACAACTTTATACAGATGGCAACAACAGTATCTTTTCTGCAAGCTTACTCTTTTTTCCAATCCATGTTAAGTTTCTGAGATTTAGCCATTTAGATATGTTTTAGCTATAGTTCATTCATTTTAATATGTTATAGGAGTATACTTCATACATATACCATCTAAAAAACCCACCCTCCTGCCAATGTTTTTCTTATTTTTTATTTTTGGCTAATAGCAATAATACTGCAGTAAACACATAGGCCCATGCCTAGGACATCCATGTAGCAGTGGAATTGCCAGTTAATAGGTGTGTCCTCATCTTTACTAGGTGTTGCTGGTTGAGTTTATCCAGGTGTTGGTCCAGTCTGTACTCCTGTCAACAATGACAAAGAAATGCCATTGCTCTATAAACTTATCAACTCTCATTTTTCAGCCTTAGTGAGGTATAATTGACAACTACAGCTGGAAGATACGTTAAGTGCACATTGTGCCAATCTGATCTACAGATGCATTGTGAAAGGATTCCTCCCACTGAGTTAATTAACACACCCATCACCTCGTGTATTTATCTATTTTGTGTGTGTGAGAACACTTAAGTTCCAACTCAGAAAATTTCAATTAGATGACACAGTGTTATCACTGAAGTCACCATGTTTTACATTATGTCTTCAGACCCTACTCATTTTACAGCTGCAGGTCTGTGCTCTTTCATCAACTTTTCCCTATTCTCCCATCCCCACACTCCCTATTTCTATGAGTTTAGATACTAGTGAATTTTTTTAAATGTTGCTGATATGATGGGTATAAAATATTTAATTGCTTTTTAATTTGGTTTAAAATTGTTAATGGGTTGAGATTTTTATTTCATCTTCTGTTGAACTGCATGTTCATTTCCTTGCCTGCTTGTCTCATGGGTTATTTGTCTTGTTTGTTTGTAGGATTCTTTCTATACTTTTCATATTAATCCTTTTTCACCTATATGCATCACAAGACCTTATTCCAGTCTGTGGATTGTCTTTAACTTTATTTATGGTATGTTTTGATGGATCTAAGTTTTAAATTTCAGTGTGATCAAATTTATATTTTGTCCTCTGTGTTTATTTCTTTTAACTTATAATAATTTTATAAAGTCTTCCTTTAGGTTTTTTTGTTTTGTTTAAAATATTTTTCTTTATTCTGGGTCATAAAAATATTCCCCAATATGTTCTAAAAGTTCTAAAATTTTGTTTTTAATTTTAATAATAACCCATTAACCTGGACTATATTTTTGTGCTCCAGATGAGGTGGAGATATGCTTTCTCTTCTTCTGTATAGATAACCAATTTTCTTAATACAATTTATTGAATTGTCCATCTTCACCTACTGATTTAAAACATTTCTTCTGACACAAATTATATTTCCATACATGTGTGAGTCTCATAACACAGGTTTGTTTGTCTCTCCTGGTACCAGTGGCCCACAGTGTCTCAGTCATGATAACTTTATAGTTAAATCTTGCTCTCCCACAGGGAATGGCTCCTTCCAGCTTGTTGTTCTTGCAAACTGTTTTGGCTCATCATTTTCCTTTTCTGTTCCATGGATACAGTAGAATCAACTTTGTCATGTTCATGAATAATCCTGTTGAGTATTTTACTGAAGTTGCATTAAAATATAGGTTAACTTGGAGAATTTGACATCTTTGTGATATTAAGTCCCCTGGCCATGAACATGGTACTTCTCTCCATTTATTTAGCCCAATTTCATGTCCTTTAATAAAATTTTATGATTTACCCATGTATATCTTTTGTTAGGACATTTCTAGGTGTCTTGTTTAGAATAAAGTATTCTATTATAAATGGTACATTAAAAAGTTATATTTTCTGTTTGCAGCTAATGTAGAGGAAACACAATTGCCTTTAGAGAAGATTCACTGAATTCTCATATTAGTTCTATGGTTTCTTTTGTATAGTCTCCACAGGCAGTCAATTTTTGAAAAATGTTTTATTTTCTCTCTCTCTTTCATATATATTTACATTGTATTTTTTCATTACCATTTAGCCCCCTTCACTCCCTCCTTTGCCCCCTACAATCACCACACTGTTGTCCACGTCTGTGAGTCCTTTTTCCTTTTAGCTTCATCCCTCTATCCCGTCATCTCTTCCCCCACTTAGCCATCACCCTGCTCTCTATCTATGAGTCTGTCTCTATTTTGCTTGTTAGTTCACTTTGTTCATTAGATCAACATATGAGTGATATCATATGGTATTTATCTTTCTCTGGCTAGTTTATTTCACTTAGCATAATGTTCTCCAGGTCCATCCATGCTGTTGCAAGGGGTAAAATTTCCTTCTTTTATATTTAAAGAAGTAGTATTCCATTGTATAAATGTCCCATAGTTGTATCCACTCATCTACTGATGGACACTTGGGCTGCTTCCATAACTTGACGATTGTAAATAATGCTGTACTGAACATAGAGGTGCTTATGTTTTTTTGAATTAGTGTTTTAGGTTCCTTTGGATATATTTCCAGAAGTGGGATCACTGGGCAGTTCCATTTTTAATTTTTTGAAGTATCTCTATATTGCTTTCCACAATGGCTGTACAAATTTGCATTCCTACCAGCAATGCAAAAGGGTTCCCCCTTTTCCACATCCTCACCAGCACTTGCTATTTGTTGATTTATTGATAATAGCCATTCTGACAGGTGTCAGGTGATATCTCATTGTGGTTTTAATTTGCATTTCTGTGATGCTCAGTGACATGGAGCATCTTTTCAAATGTGTATTGGCCATCTGTATATCCCTTTTGGAGAAGTGTCTTCTGAATGGTCCTCTGGCCATTTTTTTAATTGGATTGTTTGTTTTTTTTTGGTGTTGAGTTTTAAAACTTCTTTATAAATTTTGTATATTAACCCCATATCAGATGTATTGGCAAATATGTTTTCTCATTCTGTGGGGTGTCTTTTTATTTAGTTGATGTTTTCCTTTGCTGTGCAAAAACTTTTTAGTTTGATGTAGTTCTTTTTGTTTATTTTTTTCTTTTGTTTACCTTGCCTGAGGAGATACGGCAGATAAAATATTGCTAAGAGCAATGTCCAAGATTTTACTGGCTATATTTTCTCCTAGAATTTTTATGGTTTGCTGTCTAATATTTAAGTCTTTAATCCATTTTGAATTTATTCTTATGTGTGGCATGTGTGTCTGGTCTACTTTCATTTTCTTCATGTATCTGTCAAATTTTCCAACACCATTTATCAAATAAACTATCTTTAGCCCATTGTATGTCCTTGCTTCAAAATCTGTGGGACACAGGGAAAGGAATCCTAGGAGGGAAATTCAGAGCATTACAGGTCTATCTCAAGAAATAAGAAAAAGCTCAAAAAAACAATCTGACTTTAGACTTAAAGGAACTTGAAAAAGGACAATAAACAAAGCCTAAAGTGAGTAGAAGAAAGGAAATAATAAAGATCAGAGAGAAATAAATGAAAGAGTCTAAAAATATGATAAAAAGAGCAATGATTCCAAGAGCTGGTTCTTTGAAAAAATAAACAAGATTGACAAACTTTTAACCAGACTCATCAGGCAAAAAAGAGAGAGGGCCAAATAAATATAATCATAAATGAAAAAGGAGAAATAATATCTGACACCAAAGAAACACAAAGGATTGTAAGAAAATATTATGCCAACAAATTGGACAATGTGGATAAAACAGATAAATTCCTATAAACATACAATCTTCCAAAACTAAATCAGGAAGAATCAGAGAATCTGAATAGACAGATTGTACCTAGTGAAACTGAAGCAGTAATGAAACAAAACAAAACAAAACAAAACAGAAAAAAACAAAACAAAACCTCCCAACAAAAGCTCTGAACTAGATGGCTTCACAGGTGAATTTAACCACACTGAGAATTCTGAGAAGCACTAACACCTCTCCTTCTCAAACTATTTTAAAAATTTAGGAGGAGAATAGGCTCGTTTTACAAGGCCAACATTATCCTAATACCAAAACCAGATAAAGACACTACAAAAAAGAGAAAATTATTGGCTAATAGCCCTGATGAACATAGATGCTAAAAGCCTCAACAAAATATTAGTAAACTGAATACTGCAATGCATCAAAATGATCAAACACAATGATTAAGTGGGATTTATTCAGAGAATGCAAGGTTGGTAGAACATTCGCAATCAATAAATGTGATTCACCACATAAACAAAATGAAGAATAAAAACCACATGATCATATCAATAGGTTCAGAAAAAGCTTGTGATAAAATTTGGTGCCTATATATGATAAACACTCTCAGCAAAATGGGAATAGAGGAAACATACCATATTTGCCACGTATAACGTTCACTTATGTTTTTGGCCCAAACTTTCAGAAAAAATTTTTTCATTTAAATTTTTTAATTCAATTTTTTATTTATATTTAGAAACAAAACTGATGATCATATTCCAGGGTATTATTTTACACACAGATATTGTTATTGCTTTCTAGAGTTATACTTTTTAATGCATAAACATAAATAAAATAATTAAAAACATTTATATAGATACGGAATTAGTAGTACTCATGTAAAATGAGCATCCTTATTTTTCTCTAAAAAATTTGGGCAAAAAAGTGTGCATTATATGAAGCATAATGTGGGTACCTAAACATAATAAAGGCCATACATGACAAATACACTGCCAGCATCATACTCAACAGGTAAAAATTACATGCTTTCCCCTTAAGATCAGGAACAAGACAGGCATGTCTACTTTCCCCTCTCTTATTCAACATAAGAACAATTATGTAATTATTTGCAGATGACATGATATTGTACATACAGAACCCCAGAGATTCCACCAAGA